CACTTGGGTGGTGGAAACTCGTGTCCTGTACCAGAGGCCTGGGTGTTTGAGGGTTTTGTGCTGTATCTTAGCTGTTCCTAAGACTGCACTCTTCTGAATAGAGATCTCTGAGGTTTTTTCGGGGATCTGTTGGAGCCACTCTTCCAGTTTGGGGGTCACAGCACCAAGTGCTCCATTGACCACTGGGACTAGTAATGTTTGGATTCTCCATAACTTCTGTATTTCCTCTTTCAGCCCTTGGTATTTCTCCAGCTAGTAATGCTCCTTCTTCCTTATGTTATTATATGTAAATATAAAATCTGATGACATCTTCCTCTTGTATGCAAGTCTATGAGATAAACATGATGAAAATGGAACATCTTGTAAAATGTATTGCTGTATTGGTGTTTTACAGCACCCGTGCATCCTGTAGCTCACGATCAAAACAGGCACAAAATAGAAAAGTTTTCATGTAAATTTAAAATATGGAGTAGTTACATGGAGACTGAGTTGTGCAAAGTTTAGTAAATGAGCCTGTGTGATCTATTTAAATATTCACCTCTCCAAAATGTCCACTTTGAAGTTGAAATCTACTCAAATACATATGCAATAGGACGAAGCAAAGATCACTCTGTTCACATATTATTGTGCAAAATTATCACAGCAGGTGTGTAATAAATACTGACAGTTAAAATTTTATGTTGAAGGTTGCTTTGCAAGAAGAACATGGTGAATGTAAATGCAGGTTTTGGTGTTTTGTAAAACGAACATCAGTAGTTCACCTTTTTCCCATCTTAACTCTGTCATAGTCTATCTAAATCTTACAGCTTTTATCTCTTTCTGTTGTACAACTACTAAGGTTTTGCATTCATTTCTAAAACATGGACATTTGAAATAAAAAAAAGCCTTAATTGTTTAATGCTTTTACTTGTACAAGAGTTTTTTTTTTTTTTTTTAAACAAATTGTTAGCATTCAAAAAATATTTCATTGGCATGCATTTTATTATTTAACAACATTATGAAATTCATATAATTCTTCTTTATAAAAAAGAAATGAAAAGGTTAGATTGCATATTTTAATAATTTTCTTTTCTTTGTCTATTTACTAGTGCATGCAACTGAACCATAAGTTTATAAAACATTATTGATTTATTTGCAATAATTATACTGATTTCTTAAGGCAATTTATATCTATATATATATATATATATATATATTTATATATATATATATATATATATATATATATATATAACAAATTTTGTTCATGTTTTTCCCAACATGTAACATTCCAAGTAATAGTTGTATTTATATATGTTTGCAAAAGGAGAAAAAAATGTTGTTTGGATGAAGGTTAAATTTGGTTGAAAGAGTTCAGCTCTTAAAGTCTGGACCATTTGTTTAATAGAATCATCATCATTATGTGGTGACCTCGCAACCAGACTGAAAATACATCTTTCTTTTAGGGTCCAAAAAGTCACAGACATTTCTTAGGACTTCACGCCTTTTTTAGTTCACAGCAAAATGTGTGTTGGTTCTCACAAATTATATATATATAACTATATATATATATATATATATATATATATATATATATATTGTCTTGTTTTTCTCCAGCTCTTTGTGGAGGCTATGTTTTTGGTAAAACTGGGACGATTCTCTCTCCTGGCTTTCCGGATTTCTACCCAAACTCTCTTAACTGTACCTGGACTATAGAGGTGTCTCATGGAAAAGGTAAGGACAGTAATACACAGACACAATAAAAATCCTATTTGTATTATGGAAAACACTGTTCTGTTTGTTAGCAGTCATTTCATAATGCGCTATTTAACATTACCACAAAATGGAACTTAATCAGAATATTTTTAGAAAAAAGGGAAGAATCATGAGGATAGACAGTGGTATTACAAAAAAAAAAAAAAAAAAAAAAAAAAAGATCAGGACACGACTTGAAACATCAAAAAACTCTACCAGCAAGCACATTCAAAAACATGATTACATATGCATTTGACGTCAAGGTGTTGAGATTTGTCCATGAGCATTTTTCAGATAGGCCACAGTTCTGATGATGTTGTTTCAGCCGGCAGTTCTGATAAGCCTGCACATAAGTTCTCGGGGGGGGGGGGGGGGGGGGGGTTGCAATAAATTAAGCTTTTGACCCTAGTTACCCATGACCCAGGAGAAATTTGATAGTTGGCCCGTATCCGAGGCCAGACTAGGGAGTCAGATTCAGATAAGTCTCAATTGTTGATTTTCTTCAAGGCAGACAGATTGTTTTTCCTCCTCATCATTGAGTAATTCTGGAACTTTATGGTTAAAAATGTCCTGATTTATGGGAATCCATTCCATTGATCCATGTTATGAGCCTCCTTCAAGGTCGATCCCACCATGCTGACGAGTCCCAGAAGCCGCAGGTGGCCTGTGATTCTCAGAAATCACCTCAATCTTATGGTTTAGCTTTTAAATCAGCTGATTTTGAGTACTCATAGCATGAACCAAACCTTCATACTGACTCGGAAGCTTTGTCATGGCTGAAAATGCTGCCAATGTCTTCTTCAAAAGTTGATAAAACAGAGCCCTGTTGATGCCAAAAAGCAGAGTCCCTGCTATCATAAATCTAAATATATAAACATATTCAGCATCTTCCTGAGACAGGACTGAGAGGCACATCAGCTGCCAAACTCCCCACGAATTCATAACGTATGCCACAATGTGAGTCTCAGCCAGACAAACAGGTTCTCCAGGACACTGTTTTTTTGTTGAAAAGATTTTGTTGATTGCGTTGAAAGTCCAGGTCACCAGATCCATAATCTTAATTTTTGTTCAGAAGATGTGTACTAGGCGCTTCAGACACACAGAGAGCGAAGAAGGAGGAAGGAGAACAGGGGAGGGAAGGCAGGAGCAACCTCCTTGAGCGAGAGCCAGACAGAAAAAAAATGCACATCTTTAAAGTATTTAAAGTCTTTGTTTAGTGTCAACTCTGTTTTACCTCAGAACTTGTTTCTCAATGTTGTCCTCATTGTACTTACGTTGACGTTTGTGTATTTTTGTCTAAATTTCTGCATTTAATCTGTTCATTTATGTATTTCTCTTTTCATCTCACCATACAATCCATGCTGACATCTATACAACTAGGAGTCCATCTGATTTTCCACACCTTCCATCTGGAAGAGAACCACGACTACCTGTCCATCATTGAAGATGGCAACTTCCAGGTTCCAGTGGCTCGGCTCACTGGCTCAGTACTTCCTCCTAGTGTTAAAGCTGGTCTTTACGGGAACTACAGTGTGCAGCTACGATTTATATCTGATTTTTCCATGAGTTATGAAGGATTTAACATTACTTTCTCAGGTATGAGCACTACACAAGAAGTACCTGATTTTTTTTACAGCCACATCCAGATATCTTGAATCCTAGTGAACAGTTTCATACACTACAATAACAGTAATGCTAAAGGTAAAATTCTTCAACAGTGTAATTTGTCTTTATTGTATTTACAGAGTATGACTTGGAGCCTTGTGAAGATCCTGGTGTACCGGCGTTCAGCAGGAGAATGGGATTCAGATTTGGAGTTGGAGACTCGTTGGCTTTCTCATGTTTCCAAGGCTACAGACTTGAGGGAAACAGTAAGATCACTTGCCTTGGAGGTGGCAGGCGAGTTTGGAGCAACACCCTACCACGATGTATAGGTATGACTCTTATTCAGTGATGGAACAGATTTATTTTATGAATATGATGAATACAACTTTTCTCACTTGGTAAATCATGCTTTTCATTTCATTTTGCTACTAATTTCACAATACTTGCTGTCGTACACGTCACACTGCCGTATGAGTCACATCAAACCAAACATGTCTAATAAAGTGGAAAAAAACACACAAGTCGCTTTGCCATATAAGTTGCATCTATTATGCATCACCCCTGACGTGTCACGTTTATTATGCATCAATGCTGACCACCTGGAAACGTGGGCTGGAGTTGTGCCAAAAACCAATTGGCTGCCAAATGGTGGCCGCGGGAGCATGCATGAGAGGATTTTAACAAGAATTTAACAAGATTAACACTTAAAAACAATTATTTGTTTGCTCAACATTATAATAAAGGTGTGTCTCAGTTTATTTTTTCCTAAATAAATGCACTTTAATGGTTAAATCAGCTGCATTTCGCCTGGGTGGTAAGGCGAATTGCAGCTGATTTGACGTTTGCTCCATGAGTTCCGAAGCGAGATGAAGGTGCCTTGGTATGGCAAGCCAATTGTCTCATTAATAACCAATTTTACCTATTAATGAGACACTTGGCTTGCCATATTACTTGATGGCCATCTAACGGCTGAAAATTGTAGTGTTCAGTATTTCCCATGTCAGAATGAATGAAATTGTCAGATCTCAATCAAAAATTGGGTTATAAATATGGGGGGGGGGGGGTAAATTAGTTGCTTCGGTGTATAAGTCGCAGGACTTGCAAATTTATACAAAAAGGTGTGACTTATACAGCGAAAAATACGGTATTTCTTTTGTCCTCTGTTTCAAATAAATATCTTTACTGCATAAATAATTCTACAGAGGTGAATAACCAGTACTTTTCCAGGATTTTAATTGTGAACACAGTGGTAATTCATTGGTATGTGACTGACTGTCTGTTGGTTTTATTTGCGCAGATTTTCTGTTAGCAGGTTGTAATTTGCTGGATTTTGATGCCTATCAGTGCTTCTTAGGTTGCTGCTGGTAATTTATGAGAGTCTGGTTGGTGGATGCTGGTAATTCTCAAGCTCTAGAGAGAGCAGAGTGAAAACGCAATGATAGCATTATCTGTCAAGAGATCAGGCCTGACTGACTGAGAGGAAGCTGAGCAACAGCAGCTGCTAACAAGTGCTGGCTTTGTCATTATTTCTCTTTATTTCCATCTAAAAATAGTTCATCTCTTTGTTTTTCTCCTCTTGTATTGAATTTTGACCGCATTTGTCGAGACAAATATTGTATTAGCTGCTTTTCGGAAAGTGTTAAATCTTCATCTTTTCTTTGTCCACTTCTTTTCTAGTTTATTTTCATGCAGTCTTCTTTGGTTCAGTTTGGCTGTCCTTCCAGTTCCCTTTTCATCCCTTTCCCTTTACTTAAACTTTTATTTTTTTTTATTCACCCACTTTGGTATTAGTTTCCATTTAGAACAGCTTTATTAAAAATAGCTGCTGTATTATCCTTCTGTTCATTATACATCTTCCATATCTTGCTTTAAGATCTACAAAACACAGACAAAATAAATAGTTTGATGTTCTAATTTAGTTTAGATGTGATATAAAAGGAATCTAACATTTTTACAACACCTTCTCTCTCATGTGTCTCATTATTTTTCTTTCCACTTTTTTTCCGCTTCCAAGAATTGTTGGTCCTGCTTAGAGGGAGCTAATACCCTGCTCAACTTTCTTTCTACCCCCTCTCCTAATTTACATATGACAAAACTATTTTTGCACAGAGAACCACTCATTTAAATTCCTTAACTTTGATAGGCACTGCACCTGCCAGATAATACTGCATGATGTTTAATGGCAGCTTTTCCTAACAAAATTAATCCCATTCTGCTTTATTCTTTTTTGTGTGTGTGTGTGTGTGTGTTTGACCTTGTTTCTGATCTTTTGTAGTAGTTTTGAGTTAGTTTTGATGTTTGTTTTTTTAAAGTCTGCTCTTGCATTTATGAGTATTTTAGATATTTTATTTAAAAAAAAAGTACATTATGTGATTACCTCCAAGACTATTTTTATTATAACTAATATAAATATTCTTGTAATCAGTCCAAGTGAAGTTACACAAGTTTTGGGGTTATGTTGCATTACAATGTCCTGCCTTCTTCATGTTTGAATGAGATTTAAAGGTAAGAGAAGATATTTATGAGAAAAAAAAATCCCATTTTGACTTGCATTATTCCTCTATCATTTCCTTTCTCTCCTTGTAGCGGAGTGCGGGGCTTCTGCACGTGGACCAGAAGGTGTTCTCCTCTCTCCAAATTTCCCCTCCAACTATGATAACAACCATGAGTGCATCTACCGCATCAACACTGAAAAGGGCAAAGGAATCATGCTGAAAGCTGAGAGTTTCTCTTTGCAAGATGGAGACTATGTGAAAGTATGCTTTCTGTTTCTTTTTCTTGACTGTGTGTTTGCGTGTGCGTGTGTGTGTTGGGTGCAAGTCATTTATGGGTTCGCACATGTACAAGAAAACAGATAAATACTGGAGTGGATACAGTACAGTAATCAGAAGCTGTCTGCCCACAGTACATGTATACTATGTCTACTTTTACATTAAATGTTTCTTATCTCAAAACCAATAATTAAAATAGCGTAACCTCAACCAATTCATATACAGTATAAGACTACTTGATCTAAGCCACTGGTTGTAGTGATCACTTCCATTTAGGCAGTTGTGGCTGAGTGGTTAGAGCAGTCGTCATCCAATGGGAGAGAAGGGGGTTTGATTCCACTAGCATTCACATGTTGAAGTGTTCCTTGGCAAGACAACAAACCTCTCATTGCCTCTGATCTGTATCCCATTATTGTTTGAATGTGATCTAAAGCAATGATTAGTCTCTATAGATTCTGATTAGCTTTGTACAGGTGTGTGGAGGTAAGTGAGGGCACAGACTGTATTGTAAAGTGCTTTGAGTATCTTGATAAGATAGAAAAGCATTATATAAGTACAATACAATCCTTTTACCATTTTTTACATAAATATTGTATTGTTGCTTACGTTCAGCAATACAAATTGCACATAACAAACAATAATGAAACAGTTTAGGTTTAAACATGTGACCCTATCCTTGACTTGGTTTGTAAAAACATTTTATTTTGTGATGGTCACTTCATTACTTTCCTGTGTTTGACTCAAAAACGTTGAACAGTGTCTTTCATGAGACTTGCACAAGCTAGAACAGATCTGACCATTTTAGCAGCTACTGTCCACTTGTAAGTTCTGCAGATCCAAAGCCCTTTTTTCCACAGTGTGTCAATGAGCCATCTTACATGTTTAGCTGGATTTTGATCTAGCCATGCACACCTGTCAATGCATAAAAAGAGAAAGTGAATGTATATGAATTCTTGGCTCACCCACTATCTTGCTAAATTGTACCATCAAGGTTTTGCCCTACCTTTTAGATTTATTAAACATTTGCGTAAGAAGTAATACAATCCCTTCAGGGGGTTATTAACTATGTTCTCTGTTCGTGTTGATGGTTCTGCTTTTGCGGTAGCTATCTGAAAGAAAGCATGAGAAGCAGAGGTACAATAAGATGAATGCAGCCTCTGCTAACCCTTTTCAATAATCCACCACATTGAATTACAGTTGTATGTGATAGCCAACCTTGGCTTTCGTACACATTCATTTGTTGCGGCACACTGTAAATAACGACTGTGGCACAAAATACAAAGAAATCCCATAAAAAAGAGTTTTTAGTACAAAAGAAACCATCCAGAGGACCTGACTTAACTTTGTTGGATTTTTTTACTTGGATTATTGAGCATGAACTTTGAAGATTTTAGTACAGTTTTGATTTTGAAACCAGAAAAAAAGGTCAGATGCAAGACATCCATCTGTATGTTTTCACGTGTAACTGAAAACCAGTGTTGGCTGCAGCGAGACCAGATGGGTTACACTTGACAATACTTTTAAGATATATAATAATTATTAGATCAAATTAGATTAAATTAGATTAGATGTACATATGTTTATCATAGCTTGTATCGTGTCCTGGTTTCTCTGCTCACCTAAATGTCAGTGAGCATCACTTCATGAAAACTGATTCACAGTCTTCCTGCAGTCGTATAGACTATAGACATTGTCTAAAACTGTTTCTATTCACATTGTCTCTTAGCAGTATGCCTGAGGGCATGGTTAAGCCAGTATGTGGTTAGTGTATTATCAGTCTAAGACTCAAAGCATTGGCTGAGGTTGTCTGTGGTTAGATTCCATTAGCAGAGTTCTCCCTGAATTTTAAAAAAGCTTATTGTCATTGTAAAAGCTGGAAATGTTCCCAGTGGGATAGGTATTAAAACAGAATGAAAAGGGGGTGGGGTGGGGTGGGGGGGGGGGTACCCTATAGGAAAATAAAGTGACAAGATGGTTAATAGACATACATAAGTTTAAATGCTGCCAGTATGTTCCACCACACCGATTTTTAAAGAAAAGAACCAATAACCAAGTTTTCTAAATCTCAATTTTTCTTGCTATCCACAGACATACATGTGGTGTGTGTGTGTGTGTGTGGGGGGGGGGGGTCATAGGGTGGTGGTGGTGTACATCCATCTGAATATCATTTAATACTTTGAGCAAATCTTTTTTGAATGCAAAGTGAATTTAAATGTGGCACAGAAGATAATTTGGACTCGGGAATGAGCTGAAAACATTTCTGTGCCAAAGATCAGTGGGATTTTATGCTACACAAACATGTTTCCAATAAATTCAATGGCTTTATGGGTAATGGCCTCAGCTCTCCAGTCTCAGCTGTGAGATGCTTTCAGGCAGTTTACATGGCCACATGCACCACCTTCAAAAAAAAAAGAGAAGGGGAGGTCATGGAGGTAATGACTGCTAACGTTTGAATGCGAGTTTGATAAGTTATGTCGGGACAAAATTGTGTAT